TATATATATATATATATATATATATATATATATATATATATATATATATATATATATATATATAGTTAAGTCACACGTTAACCCTAGATATTTCTGGAAAAGTGATATTAATCAATGGACGTTGTCCCATCATCACATAAACTTTAATTTATACTTATGTATATGAATACTATATAATGCATACAGTATACACTTTTACACTTAAATAACTACTGTATGTGATACAGGTGATTAATTTTTATCTCTTGTGCAAAATACATGACATTTATATTAAAATTATTCACTGTTTTACAAGGATTCCAGCAACGCAGGCAGATGGGGAAAAGAGAGGGTGGGGAGCGAAGCGAGGGGCGGGGGAGGGGAGGTAGTAAGGTTTGACAGTTGGCACAGGCCCAGGTCTAACGCTGTATATTTATCAGTTCTTAGGTGACTGTTTCTTTATAAAAAGCCAGTGAAATGACCTGGGTGAATATAATTAACATAGCTGGGATTCTTGTAACATACTGATTAATTTGAATATAAAGATGCTATAATTTGCACTAGACAAACAATTTTAGTACCGTAATCAAATTAGTACATGTGCACTCCAGCTTTGCACTAAGAAATCTATGTACCCACAAAATACAGTTGAAAACTTTTTTATAAAATATACTCCAGTACTGTACACTAATGTACAAAAATTTTTATCTGATGTTTATATTCAAATTGTTGGCTGTCTTGCAAGGATTCCAGCAATGCAAATTATAATCTCCTAACTTTAGTCTGAGATATTATATAAGATAAAAACTAAGCCTAAAAGCCTGGCTGGGGACTGACGGCTCCCACCCAGCTTAGGGGTTGGGGGGGGATAGGGTGGTAGTCAGGTCAGAGGGTAAGCTGACCCAACCTTCTCACCTGGTTACAAATCTTCTTAATTACGAAATTATCCAGTTTGTACATGCCATTACTCAAATTCATGTTGAGTGATTCGGTATGTTTAATAAGACTAGATTCTATGATGTTCTTACTATCAATTGAATTACAAGGTAATATTGAGGAGGCATTATCCCAGTCAATGCAATGCTTGTTATCCCTCAAATGAACAAACAGAGCATTGGATTCCTGGCCTGTCCTAACACTATATTTATGTTGTTTAAGTCTAGTTACAAGATCTTTACCTGTCTGGCCTAAGTAAAACATATTACATCCCTTGCAACTGTTAAACAAATGTTAATCAAGAACTCCCCCAACAACACAATTGGTTGCATTTTTAAAGTTCCTATTACATCATCTCTCGAACCCAGAAAAATATCCCCCACCCCCTGAATTTTCCAGGTACCGGAAAATTTTTCTCGTAATTTCCGTAAACCGCGCATGATTTTCATCAGGGCTGTGGAGTCGAAGACAAAACCTTCGACTCCGACTCTGACTCCTCAAATTTTTATGCTTCCGACTCCGACTCCTTGGCCTATTTGTAACAACTATTTCTACCATCCTAATTGTAATTTGTATGTTGTAACCTGCGTAGGTAAAAAGTAAAACACCGTGGTTATACTGCTACAGCTTTATTAATGATCTGGACGATATTTAAGAACTACAAAAAGATGATAGGCTTGACTTTCAAAGATTCAATCAAAAGAAAAATAAATTTATTAAGAATTCAAGATATTAACTAGAAAACACCATTTACATGTATATCTAAAAGTTCGATCTCAGCATATGAATTTTGTTTAAGCTCATAATCTGATGTGGATCTAAATGATGATCCTACAATTCCTTTTAAAGTAAAGTTATATATTTATGTACATTAAAGAAATGAATACCTTATTAAGGAAAATGGATAAACCTTACATGATTAAGTTATTAAATTAAATTTGCCTTAATCTCACCAAAAACAGGTTGTAGCTAATTGTTTTGTAGCCGAGAGCCTCTGTGCAGTTTTCAACGAAACAAAATTTGATATAATTCAAAATTTCAAATGGTAAAGAAGAGACTATCGTCCAAAATTATAGTGCTATACTGTGCCTGCTACAATAAGTTCATAATAATGCTTATAAAATGGAAATAAATTCTTTTAATAATTTAAGAAAATTAGTGGGATCAGTGGAATCACTGCAATGAATATGCCTGAGTTCATATATTTGTTCTTAGGAACAGAATAGCTTCAGTCGGAGTCGGAGTCGGAGTCTGGACAATTTTACCGACTCCGACTCCGACTCCTCGACTCTGACTCCGACTCCACAGCCCTGATTTTCATCTCTCAACCCCGAGGAAAAACCTCCCCCATCCCCCGAATTTTCCGGGTATTGGGAATATTTTCACAGAATTTTTTGGAAAATGTGACCCCTGGAAAATTTCAATTCCAGATATTGGAGAGTTCCGGGTTTGTGGGCTTCTGGTTAACGGAGATATTACTTCTATTGATTATTGTTTAATAAAGAAAATAATTAAAACATTGGTAAATTAACAAAATACAGAACAAATGAGGGTGATTTGGCACCAGCACGTAAACCACCAAGCAGTGAGATGATTGCAGGCATATTAACAATGTTTCTATTTTTTATTTTCGCTATTAATAAATTGTCTTATTGTTTTTTTGTTATTTTACATCCCAAGCAACAGTTACATTCATGTATATATTGAAGGGAATGAACGTGGTGACAAAACGGAAGCAGTAATGACGAAACGGTTGAGAACAGTGGTGATGAAACGGGTTGTGACGAAATGGGCAGATCCCATTCTCCCGAGCTCAGTAAAGATTCTAATTCGGAATATGGTAAGTAATAACAGTGAGTCCCTCATATGGCGAGTCTGGTTACGTAAAAACACCGTGAGAGTTAGGTTAGGTCAGGTTAGGGCAGGGCAGGGCAGGTCAGGTTAGGGTAGGTCAGGTTAGGGTAGGTCAGGTTAGGTCAGGCTAGGTTAGGTCATCCCAAAAAAGGTGATAAATTTATATTAGTTCACACAACTCTGCTAGAAAGTCAAAACTATGTTTTTTCTAGTGTGCTTTTGTGTGTTTTGATTGGTTCTGACCTTGATTTCCGTCGGAAATTGCCTGTTTTTTAGTTATTGCCCACTTCTACCACCAACAAAATAGGGGATCCTCTTGGGAACCGGGGTTTCGGGTGGGGCGTTTTCCGACAAAACTCATGGCCAAGTGAATACAAAATACACCAAAAAACACTAGAAAAACAAATAAACCTCACCTTTTTGGTATTTTTGCATTAGTGCACCAAACATTCCTACCGCGAATCTATATCATATTCGAAATTTTTAAGATAATTTTCTTCTTATACATTACCATCGCAAACGTATAATAACGTAGATAGCACATGCCAAATTTTTCTCTATTTTCTTCCATTAATCTTCTGCCATTATCGCCTACCCGACCTCCCACTCAGCATGTTTCCTTCATAAATTGTCACGCATAAGAGTTCCCATACAAGCTATGCGGACAATCAAAAGGTTTTTTTTTTTTTGCCACCAATTAAAATGAATTGTGGTTTAATTCACGATAATTTTTGCCCAATCAGATTCGATTGTGATTTTGGGTCTCTCATATTTTGAAATTCAAATTCATTTCTGACCATGGCAGTCTGCAATGGGTGTCACTTCAATTATATGGAGTTGATTGCGCGTTTTCGGGAAAAAAACGAACAATCTATAGCATTTTTTAATCTCATGCTGTTCTCCCGACCACAGTAAAGTGTGCTAAGTGTAAGAATGAGTGTAAATATCGTCAAGACCAACATAGTTGGCATTGTAGTAAATCCAACAATGAACCAGAACCAGTTCAATAAGGTAAGAAATGTGAGTATTATTTTACTTTCGGACATAGCGCCCCCAAAAGTTATAAATTACTGAAGCATTTAGATCTCGCTATTCTGAGCATTTTGAACCCCATATACAGGTATACTGAGACAATTGAATTTAATTGAATTTAAGTAGTTTTCAGTCTTCGTCTGTGAGATGATGTTATAGGGGCATCACGCATGTGCAATGTTAACTGACGTCATCAGTCATGACCAATGAGGTATCAATATCATCACACGAATTTTTTTCGACCAATCACATTTTATTTTTCAAAGGAAGCATCCTGGCTACGATTTTAATTTCATTGACCAGTTTCACAATGGCCGTGGTGGAGGTTGGTTGTCGTTTGTGGTCCTTCTACTTCTAATTAAGGTATTGTACTTTCGGACATGGCGCGCCCCAAAGATTTTAACTACCGAAACATTTAGGTTCGTTTAAGCTGGGCCTACTAGGTGTCCAGTCCCCGGCTAGGAGCGAGAATAGTTAGGTTAGGTTTTGTTAGGTCAGATGATTCGTTTTCTCCCCGTACCCAAAAAACCCTTATTTCCCAGGCTCTCCCCCATTATTGTTGGGGGGCTATAAATTTCAGCCAAAAATGAAAGTCAGATTCGTTTAAAACATAACAAAATACACTGGAAAAACATATCGGTCAACCCCGAGGGACTCGTGTCCTAAAGTAAAAATTTACCATATAATTCCATCATATGGCGAGTTGAGTTAGGTTAGGTTAGGTTAGGTTAGGTTAGGTTAGGTTAGGTTAGGTTAGGTCAGGTTTTGTATGGGTCAGGTTATTTTGGTCAGGTTAGATTAGGTCATCTAAAAAAGTTTCGGTTTATATGTTTTCATAGTGTTTTGAGGTATTTTGTATTCGCATGGCCATGATTTTTGTCGGAAAAAGCCCCACCCAAACCTCCAATAACTAAAAAAACAGACAATTTCCGACGGAAGTCAAGGTCAAAACCAATCAAAAAATACACTAGAAAAACATAGTTTTGACTTTCTAACAGAGTTGTGTGCACTAATGCAAATTTACCCTGACAGCAACTGCCTTATAATTCATTTGCTACTTCCTGTACAATAAATACCTGTACAGTGCTACCTTCTGATCCCTCAAAAGTTCAATAACAAGAAAACAAAACTTCCAGTGTAATTATCACTTTCATATAGTATTTGGATATTCAACATGATATATGTACACAATTCCTTACCATGTTATGTGAATCTCTTGTCTCCTTTAACTGCAGGTTACGGAACTTTTAAATATCGAGTTACCGAGTCTACCGCCCACCTTTACTAAGGGTTTCTGAACACCGATATCCCGGAAAATAACTGAGGAAAATATAAGAAGTAAGGAACACGGGAATGCAATTGATCTCCTCTTTTAAAACATATTATTTCTTCGTTGGCTCCGATTAACGCGCCCTCTATGAAGGGTACGACATAAAGGAAGTGTAAGTATTAAATGGATTACTATTTTAAAAAGTGTTTTGTCCGAAGCACTTTCGTTTTATTTGTATATATATGTAGAGTTGTAAAAAGTACCAGACATTGTTACTTAAGTAATAGTATTCTTAAATTTGTCAAATGTTACTTAAGTAAAATAAACAAGTATTTCATTCAAGTAGAAGTAAAAAGTAACAACAAAATTATTAAGTGTCTCAAATATTAAAATAAATCCACAGTAACTTATTAAATGTAGTTAACTAAAGATAAAAATAAAAGACACATAGCATTCAAATTAAAAAAAAATATTGACAAATACATCAAAAGGAGCTGGTTAGAATGCCATCTAGCCAGCCCAAATCTACTCTTAACAAGAGCTCTTTAATATTGAACATAATCATAAATCAGATATGTATACAACAGGTAGTAGGAAGCTACTGTGGGGTATGAGTTGTTTGGTTCACACTCAGGATGGAATGGAGAAAGGAAACTCACAATGTGCTCTCTATATACATGTTGTATTGGATGTACAATGCAGCTTGGTGCTGGGAAGGCAGCATGGTTACAAGCGTGATGTAGAGAGAGCTGGTTGGTGAGGACGCTCAGAGAAGGACAGCTTGTGGGTCGCCATGCTCGCCAGCGGGAGAGAGGGCCGCCAGGCAGGCGGAGGAGGTGTTGCTGGCTGGTTGGTGTAGGTAGAAGGCGAGAGATCACCACGAGGTCAGGTCTTAAATAGCGGGGGTTGGCGTGGCTTAGTAGTTGACCCCCGCTCCGTGATGTATGGCGGCGCTGGTTGACCTAGACCACGAGGCATACACTGGGGAATTGGTGGGGTCGGCTAGGCAGCGACAAACAGCGTTTGTAGGGGAGAATTCCACTACACTACCAAACAGGGAGGCACTACCGCCTGGGAAGATATTGAAAGCATAATGTATTGTCTAATGGTAGACCCTGCTGCCAAATGGCATCACAAAAATTGTAACCAAGTACCATTTTTTTTTTACGGGAATTAGCCCACCCGGGCACAGGTCAAACGACCCACAACGGAGCCCTGGGGCGAAAAAAAAGAACGGAAAGAAATTGTAAATATAGAAAAAAAAGGTTATACTGTAGTGGATTCCTCCTCTACAAGCACCGAACCTTCTCGAATTCCCCAGCCTACACCTCCGGCGGGGGTCAACTATCTACCCACGCCTACCTCCGCTATATAAGACCTGACCTCGTGGTGACCACTCTCTTTTCTACCTGCACCAACCAGCAAGCAACACCTCCTCCTCCTCCTCCTGCCTGACGGTCCTCGCTCGCGCCGGCGAGCATGGCGACCCACAAGCTGGTCCTTCTCTGGGCACCCTCACCAACCAGCTCTCTCTACTCAACGCTTATTACCATGCTACCTACCCAGCAACAAGCTGCATTGTACATCCAATACAATATGTATACAGTGAGCACATTGTGAGTTTCCTTTCTCCATCCCCTCCTGAGTGTGAACTAATATCGCATAACTCCACAATACTGTATTAATCTACACCACGAAGATGCCGGAAAACCAGCTTTTTAAAGTGAGACAGATTGTAAGAGCATGGAAACACAGAAGAAGGCAGAGCATTCCACAGTTTGGCTGTGTGAGGAAAGAAGGAGGTACTATAACGGATTATTCTCGTGTGACCGACATCCACAGAGAAAAGGTGGGCACCGCGGGCAAGACGTGTGTTATGAACCCACGGCCTTACCGGCGGTACACAGGATGCCAAATCCACCGAACATTGCCCGTTAAAGAGAGAGAATGAAGCAACATTTCGGCAAAGAGAAAGGGAAGAGAGATTGTCGACTAAAGGAGGAGAGTTAATAAGACGAAATGCCTTTGATTCCACCCTATCTAATAGTTGGACAGAAGAAGAGCCACTCCAGATATGAGAGCAGTACTCCAAGTTAGGACGAATGAATCCCTTATATACTTGAAGCAACTGCTCAGGAGTGAAGTAGCTGCGGCATCTGTACAGCATTCCCAACTTTCGGGAGGCAGCTTCTGACCAGGATAAAGTTGAGGCATTGAACAGCTTCTTTTCCTCAGTGTTCACAAGAGAGGATGCAACTAACCTTCCTGCGTTTGAGGACAGACGGTTCGACACAGCACTGACCCACATTGTGTTCACAGAAGAGGGTATTAGAAATAAACTGTCCAGGCTAAAGGTCCATAAGAGTCCCGGACCTGACATGGTGCATCCTAGAGTGCTAAGAGAGCTGTGCAACGAGCTTGCAGAGCCCCTGAAGATTCTGTTTTGTAAATGCCTGGATGAACAAATGGTCCCCAGTGAATGGAAAGTGGCTTATGTGAGTCCTATCTTCAAGAAGGGCGATAGGCACTCCACGAACAACTATAGACCGGTGAGCCTGACCAGCATAATATGTAAAGTACTTGAGAGTATTATCAGAGATGCAGCGATGGAACATCTACTACGAAACAACCTTGTAAAAGATTGCCAACACGGTTTTATGCCGGGGCGCTCTTGCTTGACACAATTGCTCAAGGTATTGGATATTTGGACCCATATTCTAGAACGGGGTGGTAATATCGACAATATTTACCTAGATTTTGCCAAGGCTTTCGACAGTGTACCCCACGAAAGGCTGAAAATCAAACTGGAAGGGTACGGAATTCGGGGAAATGTCCTAGCGTGGATAGAAGACTTTCTACATGACCGCAAGCAGTGTGTGGTGATTAATGGCACGAAATCGTCATCTGTACCTGTAATAAGTGGGGTACCGCAGGGTAGTGTATTGGGCCCGCTGTTGTTTGTTTGTTTCATAAATGACATGCCTGACGTTGTACACTCCTCCATACAAATGTTTGCCGATGATGGCAAGTTATTTCGGGAAATTAAGAACCAAGCGGACTGTGAAGAGCTGCAGAAGGACCTCTGTGGGCTCCAGGAATGGTCGAAGAAATGGCTGCTGAGATTCAATGTCACGAAGTGTAAGAGGATGCACCTGGGGCGTACCAACGGTAAGGAGGCGTATCATATGTCCCAACGGGATGAAGAAAATGCACTAGTTGAGACTGTGTGTGAGAAGGACCTAGGTGTGTATGTTGACAATGAGCTGAAGTTCTCGGGCCATTGTGAGAAGAAGGTAAATCAGGCAAATAAATTATTGGGTCTTATAAGAAGGTCGTTCAGATATCTAGACGGTCCGTCCCTCGTGACGATCTTCAGGAGTGAAGTGCTTCCCCATCTGGAGTACTGTCACCCCATCTGGTCCCCGAGATATGCTAGGGACTGTCAGTTGGTTGAAAATGTTCAAAGGAGGGCCACCAAACTGGTGCCTGCACTTCGGCACCTCAGCTACCCTGAGAGATTGGAGCGCCTGAACTTGCCTAGCTTATACTACAGACGGGCAAGGGGGGACCTAGTTGAGGTTTATAAGCATCTCAGGGGGCACTACTCAGTTGAGTGTCCTTACTTGGAGCTGGCGGACGCTCGCCCCACAAGGGGTCACAGCTCAAGATTGAAGAAGCCGCAAGTCCAGAAAACCGTGAGGGCAAACTTTTTCGGAGTGAGGGTTGTAAACTCTTGGAACAATCTACCAGAGAGTGTTGTGACGGCACCGAGTGTGAGCTCTTTCAAGAGAAGACTTGATCAACACTGGAGCGGGTTCAGGTACATTCAGGAGCCGGTGCATGCCCAGTATTTGCCAACAGTGAGTGACAGAGACGTGACCGATCGCCCAAGCGGCTAACAAGCCGATCAGTGGCGAAGAGGATAAAAGTAAAAAGTAAAAGTATACTAAGGATGTGTGATTTCCAGGACATATTGGAGGATATGGTGAGGCCTAACATATTTATTTCAGAATTTGGGAGGATGATAGCGTCCTGAAATAAAATTGGTGGGAGATCGTCTAATTTACAAAGTGTAATTGGTAAATATTGAGTTTTATTACTATTGAACTTAACCAAGTTTGTACCTTCCCATTCAGAGGTTGCAAATCTGACTTTCTGCCTCATTTACACACAATTGCAGGGTCTCAATTGTTTCTCTTACTTTGACAACACAACATATATATATATATATATATATATATATATATATATATATATATATATATATATATATATATATATATATATATATATATATATATATATATATATATATATCGTTTCTCACTAATGATTTTTTTTTTATTTCTTTTCTTTTATCCTCTTTACCAAAAGATCGGCTCGTTAGCCGCTTGGGCGATCGGTCACGTCTCTGTTACGAACTGTTGGCAAGTACTGGGCATGCACCGGCTCCTGAATGTACCTGAACCTGCTCCAGTGTTGGTCAAGTTTGGTCTTGAAAGAGCTCACACTCGGTGCCGTCACAGCACTTTCTGGTAGATTGTTCACAACTCTCACTCCGCAAAGTTTGCCCTCACAGTTTTCTGGACTTGTGGCTTCTTCAATCTTGATCTATGACCCCTTGTGGAGCGAGCGTCCGCCAGTTCCAAGTAAGGACACTCGACTGAGTAGTGCCCCTTGAGATGCTTATACACCTCAATTAGGTCTCCCCTTGCCCTTTTGTAGTATAAGCTAGGCAAGTTCAGGTGCTCCAATCTCTCCGGGTAGATGAGGTGCCGAAAAGTGCAACCACCAATCTGGTGGCCCTCCTTTGAACATTTTCAACCAACTGACAGTCCCTAGCATATCTCGGGGACAAGACGGGGTGACAGTACTCCAAATGGGGAAGCACTTCACTCTTGAAGATCGTTACGAGGGACGGACCGTCTAGATATCTGAACGACCTTCTTATAAGACCCAATAATTTATTTGCCTGATTTACCTTCTTCTCGCAATAGCCCGAAAACCTCAGCTCATTGTCAACATACACAACTAGGTCCTTCTCACATTCAGTCTCAAATAGTGCAGTTTCTTCATCCCGATGGGGCATATGATACGCTTCCTTACCGTTGGTACGCCCCAGGTGCATCCTCTTACACTTCGTGAC